GTGTGATAACCAAATATTACTGAGAGATGATTCAATTAAGTCCCTCCACTAAATTCTCACTATGACACTTTTGTTCAGCTGTGTATAACTGACCCTAACTCACACTTAGAGTGACATGTTTGTTTTATATTAGCTATCAACTAATATTTGCTTTTATCTTTTGGAGCAAACAAACCAACCACAGTGAGGAGAATTAAACTTATATTTCTACCTGAGGTTTGAGAGGGGGCAGAAGTGGTGGCCTTTTATGCTTTTCAGAGACCTCTCTACTCCCATGCCTCACACTAGTTACATGTGCTACATTTGTATTATAGATAGTTCTAGAATGGTATAGGGGCTTGGGCTGTGTAAGCTTAATAATGGACTTAGGACATGACTCAGCAATAAGTAATTCAGTTCTTCAGGCTGATGTTAGTGGGACCTTGCAGTGCTAAAGCTATGCTTTACACTGCCTTAATTACGAATGCTTATCTTTAGAAATGACTTGGCTATTAAGGAACTTTCTAGACTGTTCTCTAATTCACCCCTTTTTGTGAAGCCACATCATTACCAATGTTCTAGAGCCTTCCCAATTAATTAAAAGATCCATGGACTTTTTAATCACTTTATGCTTATGATCTGAGATCCAGATTATCAATCATTCCTTTGTTCCAATTTATTTGAGTTTAAAATCAAAAAGTTTTGATGAATCATGGGAAAATATACAAGATCCAGTTGTTTAGCATTTTCTCCTCTTCTGATGTGATAAAAAAGTGTCCTTCTGTGCCAGGGGATACTCTGCCATATGGTATTCAGTCTGCCAGACTTCCGGGCCTCAATATATTTCCCTTGAGTCACATTACTTTTTGTAAGAATTAGCAAATAAATATATGTGAATTATAAGGTGTTTCGCTGTTTAAACGATATCTCTGTCAGTTTTGCTCTTTTCCCTTTCCCTTATTGGCCTTTAAGATGGCTTTTGCCATTCCTCCTTCGATTTCCCTACTGGGCATCTCTAACCCATTCATTCTAATTATCTGTCCATCTTCAGTGTAATGTATCTTGCCATTCCATAGCAATAATAACATCTCCAGACAATTTTTGACTCTGAATCTATGAGTATTTATCTGACCACACATCCAGCATGCTTTAGGTAGTCTGAATGATGGTCTCTGGTTAATATTTGTCAAAATACCCAGCTGAATTTCTAATTGCTTTAACTGTCCAGTGAGGCTGTCCACATTGCTTTGGATGGAAGAGGGTGGTGAGGATGGGATTATTCCTCAATACTCTTTGGTAGAAATTCTCCCCCTTTCTATGTCTGTGATTTTAGGTGTAGCTTCTTTCTCTTTGGGTCTATTTTCACATAGTTAAGAAACAGTCCTTTTAGATGGTAAAAAGATTACAGTCAAAAGTTTTCTGGTTCTTGAGATATTTACATTTCTTTTCCAATGTTCCTTCTTATTCTGCCATCTATGTGCTATTTTCTTGTTGTAGGGATATATTCTTTGAATATTACATTTTCCTACACCAATGCCAGGCTCGAGGCATGCTTTAGTAGCTTAAATCTCATGCTACATGGGTGCGGATAATTACAATGAGCTTCTAATGTGCGTTCAGTCTATAAAGACCATGAGATCTGTTAAACATTTGAACTTGTCAGCTGATTGTTGACTATTCTGATACGTCATTGTTTTATTCTTTGAATATTATTTCTCCTACACTGCAAGCTCCATAAGCTCCACTACCTCCCAGCTTCACAGAACATTTTCAGCACCTTTGCTGCTTGTACTGTATATCTCGCATTTCTCCCTCACCCCTATTTGGACTACTGCTTCTTTACATTTAGCCAGTTAGTCATCAACCCCACTTCACCTCATCCTCCTGCCCCTCTGGGCTTTGCCCTCCCTACCTCCTTTCGGATGTGCCATAGAGTCTAACCCTTGACCCTCAGTACTGCTCTGCTTCCATAACTCCCTTTGTCTCCGTTCAGACACCTTTGTTTTCCTGTGCTTTTGTCTCTCTATTATATGTAGGCACTTGTACATACTCGATTGACCCTCAGCCTAAAATCAACCAGAATGCCCCCCAGAGACTACTACCTCACAATCCACTTCAGCCTAAAAAGCCACACAGGGACACAAGCCCAAGTGAGGGCTGTCCACCATACAGTCTCACTGCCCTGCTGCCATTCAGGCTGCTAGCACCGAGTGCTACACTGCTACCCCTGCCTCTCCAGCCATCCCTGACAATCTTTCATTGTAATTGCCCAATCTGTCATATCCATCCCCGGCCATCGACTTCCGGTCCCTCCGATCCCTCCGGTCTAACTCCGCTCCTTCCTCACTAACCTCGGAGCTCCCATATTCCGCAATCCTCTCGGTACCCCTCGATGGTCACCACCCCCTCATTTCAATTTATTACCTACGCCTCCCTAAGTACAGAGCCCCGAAGACTTCCAGACAGCTCTGACGTCCACTAGCACACTCCCGCCTCTGCTGGGCAATACACTCGCCTGCCCTGCAGAGCCCACCTTCGGGCCTATCCCTCCTTTCCGTTTCTGGGTTATCACCTGCCTTTCTGCTAACCCCGTGACCCGACTCGTCGGTAATATTCAGTTGGCTAATGTTTAACCCCGTTAGCTCCGCTCCGTTCGGCTCCGCCAATTGTGGACCCGTCTTCGCTGTAACCATATATATATCCAACTTGTACATAGGTTACACTCCAGTAATAAAATCAACTAGAGTTACCCCCCTTCGGTTCTGATTGCCGTCAGTAAGTTAGGGCACAGACGTGTCACTAGGCACAGCGCTCTTGGCAGAAGTCGCTGAGGCCAAAGCCCTCTGTCACGGAGACTCTCCCTCATCTCGAATCTGGTCTCTGACACAATCATTATTAAGACAAGAATTAATTACAGAAAAGATTATTAACCATAGACTCTTCCAAGGACTATCGCTGTCATATCCATACAATCCTGACCTCTGCTCCGGGCTCCCGGAACTCCGAAACCGACTCTGGAGCCCCACTTCCCTTCTGGGTGCAGGTGTGGATGTGGGTATGGGCTAGGTCAGGGTGTATGCCCTGACACTCAACCTCAACACCTTCCAGACAAGTATGCAACCATGCTCCCAACTCTGGATCCCCACTCTGGAATCCTGTTTGCATCTCTATCTCGGAACTCCAGTCTTAGCTCCAACCTCGGACTTTGACCCCACCTCCACTTATACCCATTGTATTGGTTAGCCGATTCCATTTATTTCCCAAGCTTGTATGAGTGTGTCTTTTCAAAACAGCAAAACATGTGAACAGTTTTGTTGCCCACTGTATACAGCACCTCCCAGCCTAGATAGAGTAGTATCTATAGTACAAACTCTGTTAGAAAATGATGCCTACCAGGAAGAATATTCCAAGGATGAGGAAGAAGGCAGGTTGGATGACAGGTATGATTCAGACCAAAGTGATGTGAATTTATATCCCAAGCTGGATCCTCCAGTATTATGAGTACAAAAAAATCAGTGTAAGTGTGCAGAAAATGTATGTGAAAATAGACCCAAAGAGAAAGAAGCTACACCTAAAATCACAGACATAGAAAGGGGGAGAATTTCTACCAAAGAGTATTGAGGAATAATCCCATCCTCACCACTCTCTTCCATCCAAAGCAATGTGGACAGCCTCACTGAACAGTTAAAGCAATTAGAAATTCAGCTGGGTATTTTGACAAATATTAACCAGAGACCATCATTCAGACTGCCTAAAGCATGCTGGATGTGTGGTCAGATAAATACTCATAGATTCAGACTCAAGAATTGTCTGGAGATGTTATTATTGCTATGGAATGGCAAGATACATTACACTGAAGATGGACAGATAATTAGAATGAATGGGTTAGAGATGCCCAGTAGGGAAATCGAAGGAGGAATGGCAAAAGCCATCTTAAAGGCCAATAAGGGAAAGGGAAAAGAGCCATCTGGCTCAGTAGCCCATTTAGAATTAATGACAGGAGAACCCGTATTCAAATTCAGCCAATCCAATTCATTAACAGAAGTGATAGATGAGGCTAATGCATATGAGGTCACTAATAAGACAAACAAAGCTGTTAAAAAGCAGAGATTTGATCCGATCAAAAGACCCGTCAAGGTGCAGATGAAGCCAGAAGTGATAATTACTATACCAGAGGTTAAGGGCAAATCAAAAGACATGGAAGAGATCCCCATGGTCCTTAAACCATCTGAGAATCTGCCCAGACCTTTGGTCAGTCAGGATATAGAGATGACCAATGCCATCAAGAAACCAAGAATGGCCAAACAATTCAAGTATTCTACTGATGTCCAAGAATCCGTCAAGGTGGAGGATTGTCAGGGCACACACCCTGACTAGCCTGGACCCACACCCACACCCACATGTGTGCTCTGCCCCACATGCTCCACACACTGCATGCTCCAGGCCCGGTTTCCATTCCTCATGTGACTTCCAGGTATCCCTGGAAGTTTTTGCCATATTGGGGCCACTGTGGGAAAGTGAGAAGGTAACCTTCTTCTCACTTACCCACAGTAGTGTTATGCCCTGAGATGGGCTGTGTTACAGGCTAGGCTGTGGGCCATAGAGAGGGGTCATGGGGACCCAGGGATCGTCCCCTGACAAGGATGTCTTTGAGAAAATAATGCACCAACCAGTTAGTTTAACCATGAGGGATGTATTAGGATCATCTATTACATTGGCCAAATGAGTCCAGGAAGCAACCAAATCACACTGTAAACTAGTGGATGCTGAGGAAGTACTAGGTAATTGGGAAGTAAGATGGATATCATTTGAAGATGAAGAATATGATACAGATGATACAGATGATCATACAGTACAATTAAGCAAAATCCCCAAGGAATTTGCCATATCAGCACAAAGCCAAAACAGGAACCATCATCTGGATTGGCTCCATGGTTGGATGGTTTGGGTGAGCCTCGTTCAAACCCGGATCATTTTTGTGACCGTGTGATTAATGGTCTTGCCAATCAGGATTTGCCCTTTATTCAGGCACCAAGCATGCCATCTGTGCCATCGCAGAAACTCTCCACAAAGAAATTTCACCTCTGGGCTTATGTTCAATCATGCTCAAGCCTGGCATGTTCTGCACAGCTGGTATGAACCCAGGGAAACCCACCATTGAATACGTTAACCATGTTGAAGACTACAAAACCATATTGGCACCTTGGGTAACTAGGTACAAAGCTGCTTATAATAACCAACCTGGGGATCCAAAGAAGTTCGTGCAATTGTTGATTGACTACATGAAACTAGAAGGGCCATTCTCAAAGGAGCAGAGGGGAGACAAGGAGGTCCCTATCAGTTTTCCCATAGGACCAGATGCATACATCTCTGTGACAAAGTGCTTGAGCAAGCAGCTCAAAATGATGGAGGATTGGAAGGATGTCATTCATAGCACTGACTTCTGAACAAGTAGATGGGCTATTGACCTTCTGTTGAGGCTAGCCTGTGTGCAGCTGAACAGGTACACCAATGACCATTGAGACTATTTGAATAGGAGCACAAGTAATCACAACCTGAGTTGTGCATGACTGCCATATTGCATGGACCAGAACCAACCTGCAACAGCCCGTGCTCATGATTCATGGACCTCTCTAGATCACACATGTGTCCATTGCTACCAAGTCCCTGTGCTTTCATACTCCTACCATGAACCCACCAATGCCCACATGAAGCAAGGGCCCCTCAAGCTGCATGTGTTAGAACTGGGCAAGGGCAGATGATTCTGGAGGGGAACCAGAGACTTAGCAAGGAGGGACCTTGGCCTCAGCGACTCATGCAGAGTGCTGTGCCATTGCTGTTTGTCCATTTGGTCCTTAATTTCAGAGGCAGTGAGCAGGAAGTCTCTAGGGGGCATTTCAGGTCAATTTTAGACTGAAGGTCCAAAATGAGTATGTACAAGCGCCTGTATATAATAGGGAGACGAAAGCGCAAGGAAATCAAAGGGGGTCCGAATCGGAACAAAGGCATCCGAATGGGGACAAAGGGATGACAGAAGTGGATTGGCACTGAAGGTCATAGGTTAGAAACTGTAGTACATCCGAAAGGAGATAGGGAGGGTGAATGTCATATCCATCCACAGCCATCGACTTCCACTACCTCTGATCTCTCTGGACTACCTCCACTCCTTCTTCACTAACCTTGGAGCTCCCGTATTCCGCAATCACCTCCGTATCCCTTGATGGTCACCACCCCCACTTTTCAAATTATTACCTATGCCTCCCTAAGTACAGAGCCCTGAAGGCTTCCGGACAGCTCCGACGTCCACTAGCGCACTCCTGCCTCCGCTGGGCAATACACTCGCTTGCCCTGCAAGCCCACCTTTGGGCCTATCCCTCCGTTCCATTTCTGGGTTATTGCCTACCATTCCACTAACCCCGTAACCCAACTTGTCAGTAATATTCAATCAGCTAATGCTTAACTCTGTTAGCTCCGCTCTGCTCGGCCCCGCCATTTATGGGCCTGCCCTCATTGTAACTATATATACTCAACTTGTACATAGGTTACACCTCAGTAATAAAATCGACTAGAGTTGACCCCCTTTAGTTCTCGCTGCCAGTAAGTTAGGGCACAGATGTGTAACTTGGCACAGCGCTCCTGGCATAAGTCACTGAGGCCAAAGCCCTCTGCCACAGAGACATCCCTTCGTCTTGATCTGGTCTCTGACAGTGAAGCCCAGAGGGGCAGGAAGATGAGGTGAAGTGGAGATGATGACTAACTGGCTAGAATGGAGAGAAGCAGCAGTCCAAATAAGGATGAGGGGGAAATGCAAAAGATACATTACAAGCAGTGAAAGTGCCGAGTGTTAGAACGGGGCTGATACAGACGACTCCGGAGTGGAATCAGAGACTTAGCGTGGAGGGACCTTGGCCTCAGCGACTCAAGCGGAGCGCTGTGCCATTGCTGTTTGTCCATTTGGTCCTTAATTTCACAGTAGGTGAGCAGGAAGTCTCTAGGGGGCATTTCAGGTCGATTTCGGACTGAACCAAAACGAGTATGTACAAGCGCCGATATATATAATGGAGGGGGCAAAAGCACAAGGAAAACAAAGGGTACCGAATCAGAATGAAGACGTCCGAACGGGGACAAAGGGTAGAAGAAGCGGAGCGGTACCGAAGGTCATAAGGCAGGACCTGTGATACGTCCGAAAGGAGGTAGGGAGGGCGAGGCCCAGAGGGGCAGGAGGATGAGGAGAAGTGGGGATGATGACTAACTGGCTAGAATAGGAAGAAGCAGTAGTCCAAATAGGGATGAGGGGAAAACGCGAGGGATACATTACAAGCGGCGAAAATGCCAAAGGCGATCCACGAAGCTCGGGGGTTACGGAGCTTACGGAGGTTACAGAGGCGGGGTTGAAAGTCCGAGGGATATTGGCAATGGTGTTTACATAGTATGAGGTCACCAATGCAATGGACTAAGACCGAGGTGGAGTCAAAGTCCAAGGTAGGGACTATGACGGAGGCTCTGTCAGGGTTCAGCACCCTGCCCTAGGGTGCCCCAGACTCCCCAGACTCCCCAACCAATCCCTTCCTTCCATTCCTTCATTGTTGCCTTGTTGTTGCCTTTCTGTGTTGTGTATCTGCACACATGGGATAGCATGGGAACTTTCTGAGCGAGCAGCTCACCCAGAATGTTCCCATGCTTACTGGGCACTGCCACCTGGATGTTCCCTCCGGGTCACACTACACAACTCTAGGAGCTGTATAGTTGTGGGCATGTGACCCATTCCTTTATATAGCAACCATGCGGGGAGATGAGACCTTTACCCTTCTTCTCATCTCATACCCCGCATAGTGTGAGGACAGGTTAGATGGGAGTTGAGGTCAGGGAGCCTCCGAGTCCGAGGCCGGGCCCTGACAGGCCCGGAGCAAAGGTATGAGCGGTGTCCGAGTGCGAAGTACGGGACAGCAGTGGAAGGTCGTAACTTGGTGGGAGGGTGGCGGAGGAGTACCAGAGGGAGGAGAGAGGGGAAAGGTAAGGGAGAAGGAGTGGCGGAAAGGAGAGTTGTCAGGTCCGAAGGTGAGTATCGGAGCGGATGGGGGAAGCGTAGGAGGGTGACAGGAGGGTGGAGGTGTTGTGAAGGAGGAGCGGAGTAGGAGGAGGAGTAGTAGGAGGGTGGCGAGAGGGGCGGCATTCGGTCCGAGGTGAGTATCGGAACGGACGGAGATAGGGGAGGAGAGGGAAGGAGGAGCAGAGGTGGTGTGGGGGGTGAGAGGAGGTGTGTTGCCAGGACCGGAGGTGAGTATCAGAACAGCAGCAGTAAGGTATGACTCCGGAGGTGAAGAGGGTGGAGGTCCGGAAGTCGGGTAGGGGTTGGGTATGCACGGATATGACAATATGGGAATGTGGCAGAAGGTCGTAACTTGGCAGAGGTTTGGCAGAAGAGGGTAGGAGGGAAGAGAGTGATGAGAGGAGTGATGAGAGGAGTGGGGAGAGGAGTGGAGGAGGAATGGTGTCAGGTCCAAAGGTGAGTATTGGAGCAGACGGAGGTAGGATAGGAGAGGGACAGAAGGGTGGAGGTGACGTGAGGAGTGAGGAGGAGGGTGGTGAGAGGAGTGATGTTTGGTCTGAAGGTGAATATCGGAGTGGATGGAGATAGGGTAGGACTCCAGAGGTGATGAAGATGGGGGTCCAGGAGTCGGATCGGGATCAGGTATGTATGGATATGACAGCATGCAAAATCCATGTCAGCTCAGTTCATGTCCCAGAATGGCGAAAGAAATCCCCAAAATATTAGAGATAAACTGCCCACTCCAGTGCTGTCCTTCCATCTGCTAGGGCTGTCCCTTTCACCATCCAGTTCAAGTTCATCTTACGCCGCACACTGTTCCTGACTCATAAGTACTAGAGGGCTGAGAACCAATCAGCAGGGGACCTGAGTTATCATAGAGGTTGATATCCTGCCTAATCCTGAGATTGTGGTTTCTTTCAGAAGGCATATTAACTTTCTTGAATCATGAATTACAGGTCCTCAGCAAATAGACCTCTTATCATCAGTCTTGTGACCTACAACCCGCACATTGACACTTGGATCCTGTCTCTTCAAAACCTAGGACATGCCCCAATCAATGATATCAGCAAGGTCCATCTGGGAAGGACACATATCTTTCATCATCAAGACTCAATTATTCCTCCTTTCCTGGCCTCCTAACATGCCCATCTTCGAGACCATATATTAGCAACACACATAGAGTTTATTATCATTTCCAACTCCATATTATATGAAGTCTGGGCAATAGTTGTGCCTGAACTTTGTTGTTACTAGACTTCAAGACTTTAGCCAAACATAAGTCATCCAGTGTCAAGTCTTGCAGCATCCTAAATCCCCAACCTCACTTTCCTAATCGGGCCCATTTGTCAAGGCACACACCCTGACTAGCCCGGACCTGGACCCACATGTGTGCTTCTGCCCTGCATGCTGCACATGCCACATGCTCCAGGCCTGGTTCCCATTCTTCATGTGACTTCCAGGTATCCCCAGAAGTTTTCGCCATATTGGGGCCACTGTGGGAAAGTGAGAAGTTAACCTTCTTCTCACTTTCTTACCCACAGTAGCAATGTGCCCTAGGATGGGCTGTTACAGGTCAGACTGTGGGATGTAGAGAGAGGGGTCATGGGGACCCAGGGTTTGTCCCCTGACACTGTTGCACATGGAGTCAATCGAACTTTGCGCAATCAGTGGTGGTCCACAGTTCAACCAAGTACAGCCCAACAACTCTTCTCCAAGTGCAAGTAGAGTGTCATTTGAAGCTACCCATGCATCATTTTCAGTGCACCACCCAATCTGTGAATCGCTTCCATGTGCCGCTGAAGGAGAGAACGAAGGAAGGTCAGTTGGGAGGTTCAAACGAGACCACCACCAAGCTGTTCCCTGGTTCTTTAGTTAGGATGGGGAAGTGTACTAGTGTTATTTATTGTAAATATAGTACCAATCCGAGTGTTTTGGCTAATTCTATTTTTATGGGTTAGTTTTAAAGTTCCTGGGAATTGACTTACAGATAAACCGAGCCCTGTGGAGCTGTTTCTTTATTGAAATTTCTTAATTTGTCTAGGTGTAATTCTATGTAGCTGTCATATCCATACAATCCCGACCTCCGCTCCGGGCTCCCGGAACTCCAAACTCCGACTTCCAGAGCCCTACTTCCCTTCCATCACCTTCTCCTTGCCGACTCCCAAGAGGTTATCCCACCTCCGACTTGGACACCACCTTCAGTCCGACTCCGGAACATTCCAGGTCTGACCCCAACCTCAGCACCTTCCAGCCGAGTACACAAAACCTATGCTCCTGACTCCGGACCTCTGCTCTGGAATCCCGTTCGCATCTCCATCTCCAGAACCTCCGGTCTTAGCTCCGACCTCGGACTTTGACCCCACCTCCGCTTATACCCATTGTATTGGTTAGCTCATT